TCCCAAAATCAATCACTCAATAGTCACTGTGGCAGTACTATTTATAAGAACCGAATTTGGATCTTTATGAGATTCAGATTTTTGTCACTGGTATCATCCTATGGAATTCTTGATCTGTCTCTTCAATGCCTCAAAGAACAGAAGCTAGATCTTTTACTTTTCACCTAGTATGAATTTCAGACCCATAGCAGGAAGTCCTTTAACAGTAAGTGACCGAGCTATTCCTATTCTGCTATGCACTGTGGTTCATATTTACCCTGTGTGTAAGGTCTGCAGGTTGAAGCAGGATCTGCCCTTCATTTTTACCCTGACATAGGAAGTAAAAACATAACTTCTACAAATTAAAATGTTACCTCTCCAGAACTCTTTCAGTGTTTATTATCTTTCATTACTGAGGAATCCAGGAATCAAGTGGTAAATTAGACTTAAAAAAAACCCAGGATAGTCTTTTCTTCTAAACACCTTTCTTGTTTTATTACTAACCTGCTAAGGTCTTTGTAGTAGCTTATCTAAATATTTAGAATTGATTAAAGAAATCAACTCTGGTATGAAATAACATATATTGCTGCTATAAACTGTCATGTTTTATAGATGTAAATATGTTTATTTATGTATATATTTATATGTATGTGTATATGGATACAGACATATGTGTGTATTAATGTACGTATAAGATTAGTACCAGGAGTAATAGAAACAGACTGTTCTATATATAGGAAATCAGGGTACATATTATCTTTAAAGAATTGAAAAAATAAGGAAACCAATTAAAGTTGGCGTGGTAACTATCTGTATACACCAGCAATGCTAAGCAACATCATTGATAAAAGTATTCCTCCCTGCTGGAGGTGGACCTCTCCCACTGACACCCACAAACATGCTGTCTCCCATGTCTATTGTCCTTATAGAAAGTGCCTTTTATGACCCCTATGAGCATTCTGAAATATCTTAGAAAAATTTTTAAAATAAAACAACAAAAGAAAATCCTTATCACCTTTATTTATTTATTTGTGTGTGTAGACATGCACACATATGTGTGTAGAGGTCAGACCACAGCTCATAGATGTCAATTCTCTCCTCCCACTACGTGGGTTCCAGAGATTAACATAAGGCTTGTGGTAACTGACTTTACCTGTGGAGTCATCCTGCCAGACCAGCTTTTAGTGCTATGTTCCAACATAAAAATACACTTCACAGCACAGTGTTAAAGATACAAATATATATTTCATAAAACAGTCATATTTTACACTAATATTGTGTGATACTAATATTGAAAAATACTGCTCTGATATTGTGCTTAGTCCCCTAAATGGGAATCATAAAGAAAGAGCTGTAGAATGAACTAGGCAGTTGACATAGGCTGTTGTCAGCTAGTTTTAATTCAAATCAGAAATCAACTAGACTCTTGGGTAAGGGTAGAAACTGAGGCTTCAATTTACATCCTTTGATATAGGAGGCATGGGCAACAGGGATGGTAGAATACAGACACTAATAGGCATGTTGAGGAGTGTCACCTAATGATACTCCATCTTTGTTCTGAGTTTCTTTCTCCACATCTGACACTGGCCTAAGTACCATCTCTCAAGTTCTTGACTGCTACTCTATCTATAGCACACTCGCTTCTTTCACTGAATTCTGACCTTTTTGTTATCAATTCCAAAACCACAGAACACTGAAGTTTATTCATCTCTATCCTTTTTTTAACCCTTGTGTTTTGTTTCCTTTGTCTCCAGTGAGTGTATTAATTCCTTGGTTATCTCTCTTACTGTCTATGCATAATTCAGGGTGCCTGTCACTGGAGGTGTTACTCTGTGCCCGTAACTTATGAATGAAACTGCAGTGATGAAATTTCTGCTGGACAGGATTTCCTTTTGAAAGCTATAGTTACATGCCCAATTAACAGCAAGATGAGAGGTTTAAATTTCATGACACATCTCAAGTATTACAAATTATTCTCTCTTATCTACACTTTGGCTTAGATAGATACCAGTTGAAGACATGGGCAGTCATTATCATTTTCAGAATGTTATTATAAGCAACTAAAAGTTTGTCATCTAACCTTAGGTAATGGTTTGAAGGAGGATGAGTCTCAATGCTGTATAGTCATATAAATATTTCATGTCCAGTGAAATGAGCTTAAACTTATTTCCATAGAAACTATGTGGAACAATCATAGATAATTATGTGACCTTCTTTTTGGTAAGTCTTATTAACCTAAACTTTTATTTTTAACAGTTTGTCTTAATGATGCTATAATATGACAAAAGAGCATAAAAAGACATGTAATGACTAAAGAGCTGATAAAGAGGAATACTATTTGCAGGAGATGTAATTTTCCACATGGACATTCAATTATGAGAAAACTGACAAGCTGGTTAAACATTTCAAACTGAATTGATACAACATAGGAAAATACCAAATTTAATCATTTTACCAGGGACACATTAATGAAAGCCTAAACATTATTTTATATGTGAAAGGGGCAATATGATAATTTAAACAGTATAATATTTTAATGAAAAACTTCATATTAACTTTAAAATCAGAAAGAAGGTATTATAAAAATAGTAAAAATTATAAAAGGATGGAAAATAGTAGAAGAAGCGAAAAAGGAATCTAAAAATTCTGGTGAGTGTAAAACTCAAATCTTCCCTTTGGTATAAATTTTAGAATGTTCTCAGACAAAGTATTTAACTACTCTTTTGTTTGCAATCCCTTGGAGTCATCAGACGAAATAGCAATTATTACCTAAGTGAACACTACAAATATATGTATATATGTATCTGGTTTTATATTGAATTTTGTTCAGTGCAGGGTGACATTTATGGATCTATTTGCATTCTTCTACATGCAGACATCCAGTTAGACCAACACCATTTGTTGAAGATGCTTTCACTTTTTTCCATTGTGGTATCTCTGTAATACAACTTGAAATCGGGGCTGCAATACGACCAACAGTTCTTTTATTATTCAGATATACTTATGAATTAGGGAAATAAAATAATGGGAAGCTCAACAAAGCTGCGAAATTTGAATTTCAACATTGATGTTGCCAATTTCTAACTTAGGCTTAAAAATATTGGTTTGATAAAATGAAATCCTCCTGACATGCTTAAAAAGGCAAGCAACATTTTTAAGTTTGTGTAACTGCTATAAATAATCCTTCAGTATTTGTCCTCAAGGTTAAAGACTATACACACCAGTGTGTAGGTCAATAGAGAATAGGGGACAACATAGTTGAGAGAGCTTTTGCTGAGAAAACTCAACAATCCCTGAATTAGCATGAAACACTCTGTGTTTTCTGTCTCTGGGTCTCTTATTTCAGCTCTGTCGTGGGGAAGTTCATACTTCATTGTTCCTGATATCCTTTTCTATTCTAAGATAATTATACTTCTGTGATAAGCTGATCTAGGAAAAGCATAGCACTGTTCTTATTAGGGTCTAAATTCTACTCATCAGAGAGTAAATACTGTCCCAGGTTCTCAGCACAATTATGGAAATGACTAAGGAGTAAAATGCCTCTGGATGAGACATCAGCATTCATTATTTATGAAATGCACCCTGGTACACAGCATTACAGCCTTTGTAGCTCCTGAGCTGTGTAGTCATCAGGTGCATCATCGGGGTGCTGAATACCACATGGGCTGAGTCACTGAGTGAAAAAGAAGAGTAGCACTTTTGTAGGCTTACATGTATTTTTAATCTAGCTACAGGAGCAATACTTTAACGCCCTGTCATTACATGGTTGTTTTATGGTTTAATGGCTGACTTTTCTTTTGTAAAGAATTAATGCCAACTCTTTCATACACTTTGGTGGTGACACTACTAAATTTATACTACTAAGATTCATTGAGAAGCTATGACTTATTCGAACCATCAACATTTACTATATTAGGAATTTCAACAAGGAAATGACAGTACCAACTAATTTATTTAAAATTACACTCATTAAACTATTTACAAATATCTCTTTTATTTTTTTAAATTAAGTTTTCCAAAAATTAATGGATCCCACTTTACAAGTAATAGGCATGTTTTGGTTCTCCTTAAGATTTGAAATATATTCATTTATGGCTATACCTAACAAGCCCAGTCTCTTCTGATCTCAGATTTGAAATATATTCATTTCTTAACAGCTATTGGTAGCATGGAATATGATATCCTATTGTATTATTCTAAAATTCACTGGTTCTGTGTACCTAGTTGGAGCTTTCAATGAATATGGACATATTCATCATATGCAAATTATTACTTAACATAAGCACCAAATTCATGATATAAAATTCTAAGTGAACAGTCAAATTAACAAGCTTTAAAATTTCCTATTTTTAATTCAGAGTTTGAGTTTTATCACTAATCGAAGTGCGGGTCTTACTTCACTGACTTTTAAAAAACTGTCTTATACAAATTTAAGTCTAAATATCCACACCATGTTAATTTTCTTTTGCATACTCATGGTACTTCAGTATATATAGGAAGTGTCAACACACACTTTCCATTTTGTTGCCCACCATCAATATTGAGAAATTAACAACCTGTACTGCTTTGTGGACATCAGTCAGTCTTCAGGGAGGCTGTTTTTATTTGTTTGTTTAATGTCCCTGTATCAAACAGTATCACTGTTTTTATTTGCTGTGTCTTTTGCTAATAAAGCAAAAATAGAAAATGGTAGTTTTGTGAAACAATTTTGATTTCAGCAACTCACAAGAGTCTCAGGACTCCTCAAGTTTGAGAAGTATCAAATTAAACACTTCAAATAATATAAGTATCATCACAATCTTTCCAAGATAGTTCTAAATTTACTCAAAGTAAATTTCTTGACAATAAATTAAAGCATAATATCATTCATTTAATGTTTGAGTAGCAAAAATTTAAAGAAAAGAACATTTTAAAGTATATCTAAGAATTTCTAATAGCACCCAAAAAAAGCTAACACATATAAGAGAGAAAACACAAGCAAATCGTAGAATACGTATTAATCCATGTATTGTTTTCCCTACCTTTTGGTTTATTGCCTTTGACTCGTTTCTTCTTTACATAGCATGTGTTTCTTTGGTTTGCCGTTCTTGAAAATGATGCCAAAATGAAAACTCTGGAATCTTCTCCCTGAGAATCAAAACAAATGAAAGACACACACTGACCCTCCTGCTCCTAAGAGTTAACCCTTTACCTCTGACTCAGATATGGGCTATAGAGTCAATCAAAAGCTCTTGCCAGAAGCTAGTCACATGTCATCTTTCCTTAGCCAATCAAAAGGCCATGATACAAACAACAGCTGCTCAATTGAGACATTCCTCCAGTAACCTGTAAGTACCACTGTCATTATTTGTGGCTCTTTGCCAGATGGATCCAGAGCCAAAAATAACCCATCAGGTTTTACAACTTTCAAAGCACAGAAAGGAACCATTATACTCATTTTATATAGGGGTTATATAACTTGTCACGTTCTCAAAAGCAAAACTGATCAAATTTGGAGAAAGTATTTTTATTTCTGGAAATATTTTTTGTTCTCTTTTTATATGTCTTTATCCTCCTAAAGTAAATCAGCAGGAAGTCATTGTCAGATGTAGCACCTTGATATTGGCTACATTTTACATTTTATAATTTTTCATTACTCTTGAGAATTCAATACATGCATACAATGAAGCACAATCTAATCCATCCCCATCTTCCCTATGTAACTCCCTCATATCATCTCACTATGGCCCCTCCCCCACTTCACTTCTTAAGCACTTTTTTTTTTTTAACTAACTCACTAAATTCAATTAGTGGTGTCCATATGTGCATTGTGGCAGAGCCACCCACGGGAGCATAGAAAATCTACCAGCAGCCACACTCTTTGCCATTGGGCATCTATCTATAACAATGAGGAATAAGTTTCTTTTATAAACCATTCAGTCTGTGGCATGGCACAGACTATCATGAGCACCAACAACTTGAAGACATAAGCAGATATTTGCTTTACATAATTTAAAAATTGTTAAATGAACCTTTAGAGTTTGAATCTAGTTCAAAAAGACATTGAGCAAACATCCCAAGGAAAAAAGGTAACCAGACCTTGGCTTTAAACTGTAGATAATTATCAATGAAGATAATCTTAAATGATGGTCTACTATATTATCGGTGTACCTGATGAAAGAGATGAGTCATAAGCACCTTAAATTTTTCATTTTGATGCATGCAGCTCTTTGAAGACCTTTCCCAATCCTCCACCTCTACCCACCTATGAAATCTTTCAAATTCTCTGGGTTTGGCTTTGCTGTACCTTCTTTGTAACATTTTTTTCCAATCCTTTTACTTTGTTTAAAGCATCATTTGTATGTTCATGATTGTCAACCATTTTTTAATCCAGATGTTTCCCCCGGCTCTAGGCTAGCATATCTATATCTCACTCAACATTTTCACTTGTGTTTCAAATTGCACATTATACTTCACATCACTAATTTAATAATTAATAATCCTCTCTGACAATCTCACAACTGCTTTTCCCTCACGCTTCCCAGCCTCAGGAAATTGCACTTTTCTTACTGACCTGGCCATGACAAGTGATGGGAGATGTCATTCTGTTAATGTGTGTCTCTTATTGGTTAATGAATAAAGCACTGTTGGCCAATAGGAAAGCAAGACAGGCATGACTAGGAGACAAGGCGGATTCCAGGAAGTTGTAGGGAGGAGTCAGCATGTAGAGACTGGAGAGAGCAGAATGCCACCCCCACTCTCCAGTAAGATGAGACCACGTGGAAACACTTAGATTAATAGAAATGGGTTAATATTTAAGACAGAGCTAGCCAATAAGAAACTAGTAATAGGCCAACAGCATTATATCTAATACAGAGTCTGTGTGTTAATTGGGGCTGGCGCCTAGGTGGGTCCAGGCTGGTAGGAAAAACCTTACTCCTAACAGACAAGAGTGTGGAGAATCTCTGCAACAGTTTATCTTAGGAATGCAGAAAAGACAGTTTCACATGCTGCCAATAGAACCACAGCTCCTTCTGAAACTTCCAAGCTTTAGAAAGTGACTTAAATGTTTATTAAGACTGGTCTTTGTTAGGAACTAGCTGACCCCCACCCCCACCCCAACGATGGGTGGGACGCTCATGGCTGTGTCATCCCTGCATCAGCCTTACCTGGCAGCTCAAGCTTTACCTGGCTGCCAGAGGACTCAGTTATTCATGCACAAGCCCCCCTTTTAAAGCAAGCGCGCCAAGCGCGCTTCTCTCTCTTGCTCTCTCTCTGACCTCTTTCTCTTTCTCTCTCCCTCTCTCTCTCTATCTATCTCTCCTGCTTTCGGTTGGCCACCAGCTACCCTCCCCTTTCTCTCCTCTGTCTCAATAAATTCCATGTGGGCACTGAGTCCCATGTTTTATAGGCATTAGCTGGAGCAAAAGAACAACAGTCTTCCTCCTTTCGTTGTTTGCTCCCTTCTTCCCATCTCATCCATCTCACACAATTCACACTAAAATTCATTAATTACTTGGTGATGATAACAGTTGCTATCTATATGAGACACTCTAGAGTCTGTGCAGACAGGATAATGAAGGCATCTACACAGAAGATGGAAATAAAGGCGTATGCACTCATAATGTTACGTATATGGCTAGATGTATATTACTTAGTTTTATCCACTGAGAGGGGCTTAGAGCCAAAGAACCATAGCACACAACATTCAGTTTGTTTGTTTGTTTTTTTTAATATTACTTTCCACTAGAGTTCTTTGAAGATAGGGCCCATTATAAGGATGAATCAGAAATTACAAAATGAGACTGGAACATTCTTCTAGACACAATGGAAACAATTAAAGAGGCTTGTCAAAATGCTTAATCATAAAGTGATTAACACTGAATAATTCTTGTATCAATGTAAACAATAATAATACCATAGCTATCTATTATATAAAACTGGGAATCAAAAAGGAATATTGATAAAAGTAACAACTGACTAAAAAAAATGGAAAAACATGCAAAGAGAATGGTAAAATTAGAAAAACCAGCTTCTGGAAGCCATTTAACAAGGATTGCTTTAAATACACAGCATCACTGGAAGTTACAGATAGCAAATTAGATGTTTGGAGATAACTGAATAATCAAGTAGACTCAACATAGGACACAAAAAATACTTATCAACTTTTGAGTGTTACAAAGGAGAAATGGGACAGGATATCTTCTTAATAAAGTGATACAAATTATTACCACCAGAAATGGAGCAAGTTGAAATTGTGTCTTAGGGTGTAAAGAGAAGGCAACAGTATGATTTTTGCAATATGTCCAAAGTTTCAGAGGATCAAATTGAGAGACACCTTGCAAAGTAGGTGGCCTACTGTCAAAATTATGATAGTCATAAATATTGATAGAAGATGGCAGAAGCCCTCCAGAATACAACATGCATTCCTGGTGTTAAATCGGGAGAGAGTATTACAGAAACATTCTTGGCTTTTATGTTTACCCTGTTCTAGGCTGATATCTGCATGGGGCAGAAACAGGAGCTCTTTGAATACAAATAGTATATAAAAAACAAAGTTCTGTTAGTAGTCTTATACCATTTTTTCTACCTTTGAAATTGTTTCTTTCAAAAAGAAAACTCTAATAAATATGAAATTAATGGGAAAACCACAGTCCTCCAATTATTTTCCATGACAGAAACAAAAGATAATTTTCAAAATTCAAAGAAAAGAACCTTCTTGGTTTACATTTGTTGCAAATTGGATTCTCTCCAAATTCTTCAAAGTAATTGTCATGATTATATGTTTATTAGACCACTCAATAAATATTCTTATTGGGTTAATGCCTTTGATAAATATTTATTCTTAATGAATTTTGCAACTCTATTATATTTATAGAATTTACAGATTCAAGTTTGAATATATTATTTTTGTATTGCTTGAATCTTTTTGAACTTTGTTTTCCTGTGGTTTTAAATTTTGGCTTTCTCTGTTGCTCTAGTAATGTTGACTCATTAGCCTAGTGAATTTTTTTTCTTTTTTAAAAAATACTTCATAATTTAACTTAAACAAATAGATATTAATCATTCCTTTTCTAAATATATAAGGGTCCTACATAAGAAGTATGTTGTTTTGTAAAATGACTATACCAAGGCTAATTAATTAGGAACTAATTTTAAATCAAGTAATGTTATTTTGATATTTATGAAAAATTAAGAAGAAAATTAAATAGTGATAAGACAAACTTATTGTGATTTTTCCCTATAAAGCCATGTTCTGGATGACTGTTTCTTTAGATCCATCAATGCTTCTTGCTATTTATATCTTCAATAGTTCACATTAATTTTACAGTAGGAAATAACTAATGTTTGTGAAATATGTCATATGAAAACTTACTGTTACTTTTAATTCTTTTCAGATGGTTCCTAATCACAAAGTTAACTTGATAATAACTCATAAATATGGAAAAGAAGAGATGAGGCAGAGGAAGAGACCATAGGTTGAGATATTGATGAAACAATGTTTACTTACTACACTCAGACATGAAAAGAAATATGACTGCTTTTCCTTTTCTTTAATAGATAAATCTTTCCCCTGCTGCTGTTTTTCCTTGTGTGATATGTAATATTGAGTAAATACCTATATCTTTCTTTTAAACTTCATGTTTCACTCTCCAACTGATCTGGATAGTTTCTTGGATTCAAAGTTCCATCTCAGGGTTTGTCTACATGATTCTGTTCAGGACCAGACCCATTTTATTAAAATGTTTTACTGATTTTATTGATCCCTCTCTTCTCTTTTCCAAGACAGTGCCTTGATACATAGAAAAATATTGTTTGTAAGACACCTATTAGTAAAGGTCTCAGGATTATACACTTTCTGCATCTCTGGTCTGGTCCTTGGATTTGTTAACACTGAAGTTTTTTGGACACATATTTGAGTTAGGGGTATCATGCTAGCACTCACTTTCAAGGTCCAGTCTGGGACAGTTGTTTCTCATGAGAGTCCCTTCTTTCTTTACACAGTTTAAGCCTATATTTCCATCAGTTTCTGATCCCTCTGATTTACACAGAAGCAGCTTTTTCTCCTGTATCTACACTATGGGGATCAAGCTACACACTTACCTATTTTGCCTTCTCTCCCCCCATTGGATGTGCTATACTATATTCCACAGAACACTTAACCAAGGT